GACAAAAAGCCTTAGAACTCACTCTGTGGCAGGTACACTGATAGGTGAACAAGATACAGACAACATAAAGGACTCACTAAGCCCGGGGACCAGCAGGTCTTCTCCAAATTCAAACCGTCCAGACGCAGTCCGGCTCCAGCTTTCCCCCACTGATCTCTACAAGATTCGGGGGACAGAATCCGGATGCAGCAAGTAGTGGACTGACCCCTGAGTGAGTTCTTTCTCCCTTAGCATCGTTCTGAGAGCCTTCCACAGGCTTCAGAAGACCCCCTCTCCTCCCCAGCTGACCTTACCACCAAAGGTGCTGCTTACCCACGATGATTCCGTTCAAGAAACAAGTCTCAATTTTGTTTAGCACAACATTTGGGAATTGAAGAAAAATCGAAACCGGGCACACACCATGCCCCTCTCCGTTTCCCTGTCCGCCTGGGTGCGCGCAAGTCTTTCAGCCACGCAGTCCCTTGTGTCTCGGGCTCAAGACGCGCACCTGTGATGGGAGAAGGGACTGACGTGTTTCGGCAGCTGTTCCCAGCTGCCCTGGGAAGAAATCCCCCTGGTCACACGTTTCCTTTGATCAAGGTCAGCTTTAGCTTCTAGTCCTCAAGCCATTTGCCTTTTCCTCGCTCTGACAGCAGGTGAGTGTCCCTGGTGATCCCTGCATGCCTCTAGTGTTTTAGGAGGAGGGGGCGTGGGGGTGTGATAACATAGTTGTGTGTGTGTGTGTTTGTGCATCTATAGAAGGGGACTCCAAAAAGTTCATGGGAAGCATCCATTAGCAACTTTTATGCATAGATATAGATATGTGCATCGTTTTGGTGGGGCTCTTACAGATCTTCCCACAATCCATACAGCCACTGTATCAAGCACCTTGGTACATATGTCGTCATCATTTTCAAAACATTTTCTTTCTACTCGAGCCATTCCATTCACTTCTCATTCCATTTCTCCATGAACTTGTTGAAGGCCCCTCGTCTATATTTGATATAAACCAAAAAACCAAACTCACTGCCATCAAGTCGATTCCAGTTCATGGTGACCCTATTGGTCAGGATAGAACTGTCCCTGTGGGTTTCCAAGACTGTGAGCTCCTTACAGGGGTAGAAAGCCTCATCTTTCTTTCTCAGAGCAGCTGGTGGTTTTGAACTGTTGACCTTGCGATGAGCAGCCCAACGTGTGACTACTATACCACTAGGGCTCTTTTGTAGAAATATAAAATCGTAGAGTCCTAAAGACACACTTCATGCCCTTGCAACTTTTCTACAGGACTCAGAGTGTATACCTATTTCTTTTAACCTGCAGGGTTTTAAAAAATTATTTTCCTTGGCCCTCCAGGGGTCACCCCATTTCTCCTTTGCCTCCAACATGGTCACTTGTGCTCCAGTTAGGTGAATGGGCCTGGACCATCCTTCCTTTCCCCCACCCCCAATCACACCTAAGTATCATGTTTTGTTTTCTGCCTTGTTTGCGTCTCTTCCCCTGAAACCGCTGCTGCTTCCTCCTGCCGTGCAATGCCCAGCTCAAGCCCTATGCCTTCCTCGGCCCCCTCCTTGTTCTACGAAAGCCTCGCTCAATATGCCACGCTGTCCTCTGGTATCCTTAAGCTCTCTACCTGAGGAGTTGGTGTGCGGGTAAATATACCCTACGGTTCATTCAGCAAAACATATACCAGGTGTTGTATGCCAGGTACTTTGCTGGCCCCGAGTAAGCCAAGAGGATGGTGGCCATGAACTCTTCATGTACAATTCATACACGTTTCACCCCAGTTAAATGAAAGGTTCCCTGAAGGCAGGGGCCACGCAGGGTGGTTTTGATGGTGTGGATACAGACTAAACACCTGCAGATTAAAAGGATGACCTCAAGGGGACAAACTATCAGGATAAAGGTGGTTCACACCAACAGCAACAGACTCCGATGGTCGCGAGGGGAAGAGAAGAGAGGAGGTTGGAGCTTAGCTTCTCAAGCGAGGCTGATCATTGGACTTGCTCAGGGCGCCTGGTGAAACTACAGAGCCTCAGCTTCTGCTTGCAGCCTA